TTTCGAGTGATATAAAAAAAAGTACAAAATTCGGAGGGTGTTATATCTGACAAGCACCCATTTTTTGTATTTACTATTTATTTAGTATTTTATTTTTTATTTTATTATACATTACTAAATGTTTATCTTAATACATAATAACTTGAACATCACAATACACAAACCATCCAATAACATAAACAACAATGATAACCTATTCCCGAGGTTACTGTTATAAAGAATTCAAGATCACCATGCGGATCCCCGTTAAACTGCGTTTGCAAAAGCGACCCCGTTTCTATTTTTGTTTGATTTTAATTGCTCGTCGAGATAACCCTCTCGTATGCTATTTATTTATACGCTATGTTACATAACGAACAAATTCATTTGGATTGAAGAACAAATTCATTTGGATTAAAGTGAAATATTGTTAACTTTCTATGATTGATTCTAAGATAAATGTCCACTAATATCTTACTTTGTCCAGTCTTTATTTTGATTCAGTTTGATAATGACGTGTTTACTTTCTTGTTAAACATTACAAAGTATTAAATAAAAAAAATGATCTACATTATAACACTTTTCACGCCAATAAAGAGTGGCCACTCGTGAGTTTGAAAGGAAAAACTACAAGGAAAAACTTAATATCTCTTAATTATATCTCTAATAATAATTTGAAAAAGCTTCTTTGAAAACGACACAGATGACGCACCATGTATATTGTTATTATTGTGTTATTCCAGTTCCCACTACACGCAAGGGAGCAAGCTTGACACTTGCAGCTTCAAAGGGTCACGCCTCCTGAGACTTCTTGCCCTTCGGGCATGATACAATAAACGAAAGATAAGATCCTTGGCGGTCGCAAATCGGTCTGCGCATGACGTCACCCGGGTAGTAATTTTTTGTTAAGCTCCCCCAACTACATGCGCAATATCTTATCTTAAAAGATCTTTGGCGGTCGCAAATTGGATCTCCGCGCGCATGACGTCACCCTGGTAGTAATTTTCTGTTAAGCTTCGCCCACTACATGCGTGATATCTTATCTTTGTTCATTGTATCCTTCTAGCTTCTTGTTTCTTAAGGCTCTTCCTTCAGTGATTAAACTTCATTGTTGGGCAAAACTTTGTTAAAACGTCAGCAACATTTAATTTGAGCTAGAAACATTTTTAGGAAACTGGAAACATTTTCTGGAAACATACTTTGTATATTTTATGTTTTTTTTTATGTTTTATTACTGTAAAACTGCCCAGCTGCGGAGCTACGTCAATCAGTTCCCGTTCAATTACAGATGTTTTATATGACTATATTTTTTACATGAGTGAACATCTCCGTCGTGCTCTTATTCCAAGGCAAGATTGAAAAATTGAAACGCATTGTTTATACACTCATATGGGTAAGAGATGGCTGGAGTAATTTAGAGGCTCGGTATTTTCGTATTTACTAAGTGTGGGTTCCAGGTGGGACCCTCCACTGTGGCCGCAATGGCCTATTATGGCTCAGTTGTACAGGATAACCCGATTTTTTATTTTATTTTTAGATTCTGCGTAAAATTCCATAACTTTTTTATAATATAATGTTATACATATACCTGAAATTAATAGTTTCTGTAATATTTCAATTTGTTTCAACAAATGTTAAATTGCAGTATGATAAAAAATTGTCAGTAATGCCATTGTTTTTGAAGTTGGACAATTAAAATGTGGTAGAAAAATTTTATAGAGATATAGAAAAATATATACGTAAAGATACTTTTTAGATGCTACAGGGTGTTCAAAATATATTTATGAATTTCAACTTCTTAAAATTAAAAAATCACATTTTTTTTTAAATGGTTCCGTTCTAGTATCGTTCTAGTATCCATATCAACGACACGTTGTTCCTATTTCCTGGTAAACTGAGCAGTTTCTTTTAACAATGCCGAATCTTCATAGTACGTCCATTTTGTTGCTTTAAACGCTTTCAACTCGGCTTAACTATCCGAAAATATGTTTATTATTTCCCGGCGTATTGTCGCTCCTCCATCAGATGTACACAGGTTTCAATTTTTGATCCGTCCGTATAACAACACATTTTTCAGAATCTCATCAGACTGTAAATCGTCTACCTGGAGCACTAGTATGGTGGAAAGCGGTACTTAAAGAGACTAGAAAATGCCTCACAAAAGTACAGCAATTAGTAGCTCTAGGTAGAACTGGAGCAAGGAACAACACAGCGCTAGAAGTAATGCAGGACTTAAGATTAAGTAAATCCAATCTGTGGACCAGACCAACTACGATCACTCGTAATTGCCAATGATATTCGCATTCCGACTAGAGAAGAATGTGAAAGCAACCTAATAATGAATACTCAAGAGATAGCAGTCTACAAAGATGCTTCCGTAACTTCAGGAGGCATATTCTCAGAGAAACTGGACATTCGGACTCTTTAAGGCTATCGGATGGCTGTAATGTCCTACAAGCAGAGTTTTACGCTATAAGGAAGCGGCGAGTTGTATAGAGGGAAAATCGCTAATAAAACCAACAGGAGCTTTAGAAAGGTGATATAATTTGGCAGTTTGGGCGTTTTAAAAACATCACCATGCAATCAGGGAGATCGAAAACTGTGATGGACTACCGAAAAGCTGTGTCCTAGCTGCGTCAAGGCGGGGTCACTCTGTGCTGGGTGCCAGGTCACCACAATATGGTGGGCAACCAAGAAACGGACAGACTCGGCAAAGAGGGGGCCCGGTAAAGGCCGTGGTAGATGACCCACCAAGGAACTACCATGAAAGCCAAGTAGCAAGAGACGTGGCAACACCGTGAGAATTGCGCTACAGCTCGTAGACTGTAGCAAGTGGTTGATAGCAAAAAGAAAAATTAACTGCTAGAGCACAAAAAGAACTGCCCTACGGAGGTAAACTTCGTAAGATGAAAGATTTCCAACGACGATTACTGCAGAGAATGCGGAGAGAAAGAAAAACTATAGAGCACCTGCTGTGCTACTGTCCGGCACTGGAAAACCGACGCTTTAAAACTTTAGGGCACGGTTTTTTGAAGGGACTGGAGGAAGCAGCAGAAACCAACATCAGCGACATCAGTAACTTTGCAAAGAGCTGAAAGTGCTTTAACGGAATGAAAGAATGAGAGGAAGGTTTGGTACAATAATACAGGTGTATCGCAATGGGCCCAATGCCTCCGAGGTCTGAGGGCTCTGAGCGATCAAACAGGATCCCAAAACCCAGCAACCTAACCTAACCTAAATCATCTACTAATCGGTTATGTACAAACTTGGATGTTCTTTGGCGTATTCGTACCATATTTTAGAGCAGAGGTTATCAAATTTGTTTTTCTCGTAGATCACTTAAGTTGATCCACTAAAATCGACTCTTGAGAACGCGCTTTTTTATTCAGCAATGATCATACACGTTAGTTTCATCACGCGATGACCGTTCATTTTTTTTTTCATTCATCGTTTTCATTCTTAAATGATTATATTCGTTTTATAATGATATACTTTCACTTTCCTGAACTTAGCATCAATGAGAGTATATTAAACTAATAAAAATTAAAATGTTGCAAGCTGTTCATTGACATTTGAACAGTTTTCATCAGTTTTTTTTTTCAGTATAGCAAGTCAGGCTACAAAAATATCTATAGAAAAATGAAAATATAATGCGTAGTTAACTAATGAATTTACACTTTGAATTGTTCCAGATTGGCTAATTTTATCGGCAGTAAGGCCTCAGTGACGAACGAAAAGGGAAACTGACTGGTTCCGCTATAAACGATTTAGGTAGCTTATTTGACGCGACGCTAGACTGGCGTGACATCGCTTGGCTGAAATCGATAACAAAACTTCCATTGTCCTCAAAGGTATTCTAACAGCCGAAGATGCCATTATTGCAGCCGATGTCGGCATTGCCGGCATTCTCGTTTCAAATCATGGAGCTCGACAGGTGGACGGAACATCGTCAACGGTAAGATTTTACATCATGTTCTGTAATAATTCGAATAATTTATAAACGTAGATTTTACAAACATTATCATTGTGTGTTATAATTTATTTGGAACCACTAAAATATTATTTAAAATGGGAAATTACTTCAGAATTTATACGAAAACGTGATTTGCTCTCCTAATATCCCCCCTTGGAGATAAGATAGAAAGTTGCGGTTTCCGCAAAAGTTTGCGCAATATCTGTTATGATGTCAAACAGCGCTTGTTGCTAGAGAGCTACAACGAAAAAATCTATGGAAACAAAATTTATACTGGACATCAATAAAGCTTCATTCAGAACCTCGCAATTAGTGGAATAAATTAGTGGTTTCAATTAGCCTAGAAGTTTGTTCCTCTTATTTCAATGTAAGCATTCAGAACGTCAAAATTAGTGGTAGTCATTTTCAATTAGTAGAATAAGTTAACAAACCTTTGACTTTTCCACTAATCTCCATCGGCCAAGAGAATTGTGGTTAGAAATCAGAGGATTGTTTTTATAAGCTAAATATTAGGTTTTCTATGGATACAGCCGACTACCGCAAGCTGTTGCTACGATATTCTATTAATTTTAATTGTGATTTTAGATATTGTGAATGGTCGTAAACGAAAAAGTATAAAGTGTAATTGAAACCACTAATGAATTCCACTAATTGCGAGGTTCTGAATGAAGCTTAAAGAAGAAAATCTCTTTTAAACTAGCCCAAGTTTGTTTAAATCGGCTAACCTACACTAGAGTTGTCCTTATTTAATAAAAGCTAGTTCAACCTTCCCCCACACTTTATTTTATGAGATAGAGCAAAATACGAAATAACAAAAAAATACAAATTTCCCATTGATTATAATAGATAGTTAACTTGTTTTCTGATTGGCCTACCCAGATGCCCCTTAGCGGATATTTTTCGAACTTGAAAATATTTTCCAGCGATTTCTCTTGGTCGATTGACTCATTAGATTTTTTCCCCAAAGTTATACGATATGCAGTTTCTGAGATACAGCCGGCGTCCATTCTGAGCTTGGCCACCCGGTACATTAAATACGGAAGCAAAGTCATTTGCTTACCATTTTCCTCAACGATATTTTCTTGTTTTGACTGATCTCGTAAAAATTTGTTATTTTTACTCAAAAATAGTGCCTCATATTCATCATTGATGATTTTTGAAGCATCAGGAGGCATCCTATTGTATTTACCTCATATTTCTACATGTGGGAATCTATGAGATCAAGTAGTATAAAAAAACCACCTTAGTAACCCTGGGAATATTTTTTTACCAGTGAACGTTCCAAGGGGTCAACCCCAAAGGAAACTACAGGAGAGGCGGCTGGCACTTGCGCGAGACCAGCCTCAACAAGCGGCGCACAAGCTACCACCTCCTATAGCAAGGGTCGGGCTCCTACCCAACAAGCGACACAAGGTACCGTTTCGCCTATCCAGCCTCGGTTAACCAAGTGGGCTAGACGATCCGCTGAGATCTTAGTGGAGCAGAAGTACGGAGATACATCCAACAGCTCCACGAAGGACTTGCTCCAGAGAAAGGAAAGTCAAAGAACTTCTTGAAAAAGGGAGATTAAAGGTTGATTCTCACTCATACCTTCCGTATCAGCTACCTTCCGTTTACATAAAATATTTTATCATGTAAATGATAGGATGAGGACAATGCACACTATCTGTTCCGTTTTCTCTTTCTGTTCCATATCCTTTCCTTCCATAGATTTTTTTTGACGGACGGATTGAAGCGTATCGGAAACAGCATTGTCAAGTTCTTACATTTGTACCAGCTCTGTGAACATTTTGCTGATATTTATTTATTCTTTCATCTCTTAATTAAATCTATTACCTTTTTCAAAAGATACAAATTTTTAAAATAAAACTTTCGTAATGATATAAATTGTACAATAAAAAGTATAGAACTGATACGGAACGGAAGCATTACGTATAGCGTGAATAAAATCAAAAATACGGAAAGGATATGGAATGGATATAGAATGGAAGCGGAAGGTATTATAGTGAGAATCAACCTTAAAGGAACCAAGAAACAGCCTGGCGCATCTCCACTAAAGGGCAAGATAGGGAGCGAGAACCTTTCACCTCTGCTCGGGCAAGGGTAGAAAAATGCCAGGATAGAAAGCCGACCAACACCGAGAGGCAAGCATCACCAGCTTTGCTACTATTGCTGGACAAGTGAAAATAGCGGTGCTTGCAAGGATTACCCAGAGGCTGTAGTGACTACCGACCAGCAAACCTCCCTAAGAGAGCCGGTACTGGACGAAGTAGTAGCGAGCGGATTGCAACACAACGATCCACAAAAGCTGCAATAGCTGCAATTTGCAGGGATACACTTTTGGGTGGGCATACGCCTCTTAGATTGTGCATCTCAAGACTGGTTGGTTCAAACAGCATCAAACCAAACAAAACCTATACTTAAGAATTGACAGGGGCCGGGACTGGTTGCATTGAACATTGAAAATGTCCCTTAACATTCCATCTGCCGAAAAGTAAAACGAAAGACATCACCTACCTGCTGACCGTTATCCAGGCTGAGAACTTCAATGTAAGGACATCAAGTTGGCGAGTCATCAACTCGAGGGAGGAGGCTCACAGTCAGGTCCTCACAATAGGTATTAAATAAAAACCTCAAATCCAAGGAGGCAATAGAGAAAGAAAGATATATCCTCTATTATATTACAGTTGGGGGGTTGCAACCTTTGGTGTTACACAGCAAAATAAAACACTAAATCACCACAATACACCAAAACACTTTTTATACTAAACTAATATCTACAATTTCAAACATTATCTACAATTCAAACAAGCTCCACGACTGTGAAGGACATTGACGGCCAAATCCCAACCGTTGAAGGCTATAACCTCGTAGGAGGTAGATGTCCACTCCTCGGATGAAGAATATCTGTCCTCAGAGGATGGGTCCCCCTACCACAGGAAAATCCTCATCTATAATGAGTTATAACTCAAGAAGACACAATAGATCTTTAAGTGCGCAGTCATTAACCCCCCTTTCACTCATTCTGCATTCTACCCAAATATTTTCTTATGTTTTATGATTAGGAGGTAATCCACGCAATAGTTTTACTACTAAGCCACTTATTACGCTTTTTTTAAGCTGCTTTAATATTATGTAATGGAATATGGAATGAAAACTAAATGAATCTCATTTCGAACTGATTAATAATAATTAATTAACCAAACTTACTGTATAAAACATCTTTTTGTAGATTGAAGCCCTAGATGAGATATCTAAAGCAGTTGGAGATAGAGTAGAAATCTATTTGGATGGTGGTGTTACAGATGGCACAGACATATTCAAAGCTTTAGCATTAGGTGCTAAAATGGTTTTTGTTGGAAGGCCCGCTCTTTGGGGTTTGGCTTATGGTGGTGAGGAAGGAGTGAAGAAAGTTTTGGGTATACTTAAAACCGAATTCGATTATACCTTAGCTCTTACAGGTATATTACCACAAACTCTTTTATAAAGTATAATCTACTTAGTCTTTTTTCAGGTTGTGCTAGTATTGGGGACATTTAAAAGGAACATGGTTGTACATGAATCGTATTACTCAAGACTTTAACTAAAATTACTATAAAACTTGTAGTGAATCTTTGAATAAATGCCCTACACTATTCTATTTACAATTTAATTGATTACTTACTCTGTTTCTGAAAAAAATGATCATGCTATGTAATCACCGGTATTATGCTGCCCATCATGTTTGCTGTTAAAAGAGGAGTTTTTTTGCAGCAGAACTTAGATCCGTTTGCGCCCTTTCTTCTAACCCTCTACAGCATTGAAGTTTTAGCCCTCAAGACCTATTTTTTGCGACGGGGAAAATCTTGCATAAGACACCCATAATTATTTGTTGGCGTCAACGGGTAGTTTCGGATTCCTACCAACTAAAAAACCGTCCTTATATTGTCGATATAAGCTTGTAAATCCACCTACCAGATTTTTCTTGCACGAAATTTTCAGCTCGTTCTTCTACTAAGAGGGTAATAGGGGGAAATGCTAGATATTACATTCAACGTGTCTGAGGAAACAGTTCTATATGCATTAGACACTTTTAGATTCACCTTTCGATGGAAACTCTTCAACTTTTTTTACACGTTACTTTGGACATAACGTGTCACACGGGGGTGCCGTATATCAATTGTGAGTGTATCACGCTTCCCAATACTCTTCTTTTTGATGCTTTTGGACCGCCCAATCTAGGCATCAGTTTACTCAGAGCTATAAACGTTTTATCTGTTTTGGCAATAGCCTTGTTTATACAGGGTGTCCCAGAAATGAGTGCAGATATTTTAAGGGGTGGTAGATCTGGTCAAAAGAAACATATTTTCTCTTTACCATTTTTAAAATAAATTGAAAATAACCTAGTTATTTAACTTTGAAAGTTTAAAAAAAATTGCGACATTTTGAGAGCCGCCAGAGGAAATCGGCAATCTCCCGGATCTCGGCTTGTTCGCCGCCCGCTGTTGCCACATCGACTAGAAAGACTTAAAAACTACTTGCAAAATTCCACACCACCCAAGAGGTTCTGCAGAGGTGCGTTACTTTTTAAGTGGGTGAGAGAAGCTTATTGTAATTAATTGTTAAGATTTATTTTTTTCAGTTTACTCAGCTGTAAAAAGTATTTAAAAACATTGTGCGTTTCTCTAGAATTAGTAGAGCAATCTACACTAATATGAATAAAATTAATTTTCGTATTTTTTTCTGTAGCAACTAAAAATAATTGAATTTATAGATAAACATGCAGAATGTGGGTATGGTAGGAGGTGACAACGTTGCATTCTCTCCGACACTCTCTATGCCCGGTAAACGAATTTCCCGGGGAATCAACAGTGGCACTCAAAAGTTTTTCAACATTTTCCGGAAAATGTCAAGAAACATATAAAATTTTCAACATTTTTTTTTCGCAAAAAAAACCTCATAGGCGTGTTTCTGGGGTTGAACTATACTACCAGTTAAAATATCTGCACTCATTTCTGGGACACCCTGTATATTCAACAAAGGTTAATTTTGAATCCAACCATATCCCCAGCCCTCAAGACCTGCCTCCTTTAGAAAGAATTACCCTTCGATACCCCAGATATCTTTCACTGAGGCATGTTAGAGTGGATTTACATTCATCCATAATACGTCGTCCGTCGTTGATTTTATACAAGTTTATTGGTTTATTTCAAAAATGGCAGCTCTTACTTAAATATCATTGGAATAACGGAACGACAGACGACGCGTTACGGGTGCATATAAACTTATCTTAAGTCTGCTGCTACGAATTAGTGCGGAGTATTCACAGACTACTTGTATTGTCGATCCTTCTAGTGTCTTGAGAAGGCACCTATAATGATCCTAACATTGCTTCTAATTATTTTTAGAAGTTCTCTAGCCTCATTTTTAGTTGTCGGAGACCAAGACTACTTATTAGTAGAGATGAGCAAAACTATGATTCTCCCATCGCAGTTGAAACTGCGATTGCGATTTTTAAATCTCAGCGACTGTAACCTGCGATTGCGATTTTAATATTTACCAAACCAAATTATTCGTAAACAATGCTTTTTCTAAAAAATATACCAATGAACCATCCTCGTTCCATTTGAAAAAATTGAGGTATGATTAAAAATACGATTTAGACATCTTTTAACTGGTCAGGACAAGACGCGAAAAACATGACCTTCTAGATTGAAATTTAAAATACGATTTTTTAAGAGAAAATGTTAAAAGTTACCATATGATAAGTTATTCTATTTAAAGCTTCATTTTCTATCGAATAAAGTAACAAAATACCAAGGGTGTCATTTAAAAATCAAAAGTTGTGGTCATTTCCGGTGAAACAGGAAGTGACTGAAAACAATAATTGAATACGTCAATCAATCCTAATGTATGTCATATAATATACTAACAGACCAAATCTCGCTTAATCAAAAAAAAAATAAAAAAGTTATAGAGGTAAACCACTCTTGAGAAACACCCGGTATTTTATGATCGTGGCCCAAGAAAAATAATACATTCTCTATAAATAAATAATATCAGAGAGAAAATTCAATCTCAGTCTACTATAAAATGCTTCGATACAAAATTACATTCGCACCAATATCGCAAATCGCAACTCCTAAAAATTCAAACTCGCAGATAGAAATCACGATCCCAGTTTACAAAACCCTAATCGCAGCACAACCGCAAGTCGCAACAAAACAAAGTTGCAAATCGCAGCTATAGCAATACTGGTTGCCTAAACTGAAACACGCAAATAGAAGAGCAAATCCTAGGAGAGCAAAACGCAGGTTGCGATTGCGACTTTAAAATCGCTGCGATTTAATCGTTTGAGATTTCTTGCTTATCTCTACTTATTAGATTGCAAGACCAAAGGCTCCTTTGATTTTCTGATCACTAGGCGACACATTAAGAATAAGACGAAACTTCGTTATACTGCATTTATTTCTTGGACACCCTGTATAAGTAATTCCAAATTATTATATTATATTTTTATCAACTCTATTATCCCATCTACTCTATACCTATATGCTTTAGGGGATTCCTTAAAATTACAATTGCTGCTCAGATCCGACTCTCAGTGGCGCAACAAGAGGGGGGCTAGGGAGTGCTGAGAACCCCACCCAATTTATAATAAGCCTCCGCCCCCCGCCAGACGACTGGTACGGGTAGTTTTAACCTCAAATTAATATTATCTTACAAGTGACCTAAGCCCTCCAAAAGACTTGGGCCCCCCTAAATGTCTGTGTCTAGTTGCGCCATGCGCCACTGTCGACCCTGCATGCATTTTCTAAAATTGAAAATACTTTGTAATATGGTGATAAAAGCTGCTTATAGTAATTTTCTTTAGGTTGGTACAATAGGTTCTCAAAATGATTGAATGTATTTTATTGTGTCCTATGTAAACGGCAAACTGCGCGTGAAGCTAAATTGCATGCCATTTTTAAAAATTGTATTGCATTGCATCGTTTTACACAATGAATCAAAATTGAATCTCAAATATCCAACGTCGATAGACAAAACAAACAACCAAAATAAGTCGAAAAAATTTATGGAGACTAAATAAATTATCAGATATTGCAATCACCACTTCTATTATATTAGAAATTAAAATTGACATTAATCATGGATAAGTTAACTAACTAATTTTTATTAAAGCTTATCTAAAATTTTATGAACTATATACACCCTAAAAACTTTCTACGTGTCTGGTAATCAAATATTAATCAATTTAAAGCTGCTTGCTGCTTCACTATAAGGACTTACTGATATTGAGATTTGTGCACGATAATAAATAATATCGCTAGAACTGTAATTAGCATTAACTTGTTTTTATAAAACAAGCAATATTTCAATTATGAACAAATTTGGATAATCAGTAAAAGGAAAAAAGAAAATAATTACCGTTTTAATCACTATTAATTTGCAAATCCATTACCATACTAAGCAAAGCAGGAAATCATAAACAAATCACGTACATCTTATCTACCGCTAAAATTATAAACTACAAATTCAAGTTAATTGTTAAGCCAAATATTTAAAGTCGTTTATATTCATAAACACAACACAAGAATCGTACCATTCAACAAAAACCATGTGATTGATAATTCAGTTTTCAATTTATTGCATGTTTTCAATTTATACGAGACTTATCTTAATTCTATTTTTATCCTATTAATGTTAAAAAGTAAGAAAAGAAGCTAAGGCTCTCATGATATGCAGAAGATTGGCGGGAAATAGATGGGGCTAAGCCCCTAACATTTTGCGCTCGGTATATATTATGATAGTAAGACCCATGATTATCTATGAAGCAGTTGCTTGGTACACAAGACTAGAGCAACGTACAGCAAGGCAAAACCCGTGCAGAGTACAGAGACTGGTATGCAACAGGTACCATGAGAACATGCCCAACAGACTTAACACCACTGCAAATTGTCGTCGGTAGATATGCCAATGCGACAATGATTAGAATGGTCATTGACTTAAACAGAACTGGGAGTATTTTCAGGTCAGGAGTGTTGGAACACCCTCAAATAGAAAATTCCACTCCTCCAACTCCCAGTGGATAACATACCAAAAACTATTAAACTTTAAGAAACGCCTCACTGTAGTATTGAGCAATAAAAAGGATTGGAAGAGAGAAAAGTTTGCTCAGCGTGTAAAAGACCATACATACCATAACGTGGTATATACTGATGCTTCCAAAACTAAAGCAGGGACATGGATAGAGCATTTAGGTCGAAAACTAAATACCAATGGGTACCTACCCCAGAATCCTTCAGGCAGAAATCTACGCTATCGAAAGATGCGCACAATTTATCTTAGATAGGAACTATCGAAAACAGGAAATAGCCATGTTATCCGATATTCAAGCAGCATTGAAAGCGATCAACTCAGTAACCATCAATTCGAATATGCTCAAAGAATGCGTAGAGAAGCTGAACAAATTAGGCAAAGAAAATAAAGTCCTCCTACACCTCTCTCTAGGTGCCCACTGCCCACTCACCAAGGGAATGAAGGCAATGAAAAAGCAAACGACCTGGCTCGAAAAAGGAACGAACACTCCACTAACTGGACCTGAACCGTTCTGCTTTCCAAGAGGAAACCAACTTAAAGCGGAACTCAAGAACCTGGAAG